GAAGTTGTTTCATTTGCATTTATTTATTTTTGGGGGTTATTAGATTTATTGTTAAGTTAGCTTGAAATTAATTTCATGACCCTACAAAAAAAAAAAAAATACTAAAATATTTCGTCAAAATAGTATACTAGAGTGCTGATGCACTGCAGGATTGAATTAAATCATCCACCTATTATTACAATTGGTTAAGATTAAAAATATTTTTGCACTATACTTGTTATATTATAACTAGTCACCTACCTTATTCTCAGGAAATTTCAATCGTCTACGAGCTGAAAGATGGTACTGCATTTGGTTTCAAACGAGGCTTTACTAATACAGTCTAAAATTTTATTAATTAATGTAATGTTATAATTATATAAAGTGTATTTTACATTTTAAGTAAAATGTAAAATACATTTAATTTAATAGTTATTGAAAGATTAAGTAATGTGAAAAAGAAATATCGATTGATGTTCTTGTGAAATTAATCTGCTTACTTGCAGTTGTTATTTTACTTACCGAGCATACAATATTTCCTACTTTATCCACTATATAATTTGTTGTTGTTTTTAAATAGCATTAACCAGCAAATGCGCAAATGTAGTTCAMAAATKACATCATTTGTGTCCAAGTACTCCAAGTGATCAATATTTAAAGCATTCAATCATTCTTGCTTTAAAATTGAATCTTATGGTGTTACAAATACTGAAAGTTTTTCAGTTTTGTTACAGTCCAATAAACAAATTTTGCTAGCCATTGTATAATTTTACATACAAGTTAGGACAACTATTCAGGATTATAAAAATAAAAACGTAGTTTTATATTGTACAAATTATGTTTATTTTAAAAACACATTGATCATGATGTAATATGCATAATATATAAATATGTAGAATATCAAATATGTATAATAGTAAATAATGTATTAACCACAATTTAAGCCGTGATAACTAAATTAATTCCTAACCTTTAAAAACGTCTAACCAGCTATGCTCTTTATTATTGTGGTGAAAATATTAAATGTTTTTGCATAAATAAGCGGAACACTTAAGTTCGATGGTGGGGTGGAGTGATCCGACCTTATCTTCTAAGACCGTGATTCATCATCCGTTCATTCATTTTGGGACAGAGTTGGGCAAAATCGTATATAGATAATTATTCGAATAAATAGGTATTCAAATAAAAATGTATTCGAATAATTCGAAAACACTGTTATAAAAATAAAAAATTATTCGAATCATTTCAAACAGTTATTATTGGAATAATTTTCAAACATTAATCATAATTATACTAATTACTTGTCAAAATTATTTATCATAGAATGATAATAATTCTTTTACTCATGCGAGGTGCAACATATTATTCAGCACACCCTACAAATTATTTATTTTAATGAAAACAAAATATAAAAGGCTTAAATTAATATACAATTAATTTTCAATTCACTHGTAAAAACACTCGTAGTCTTAGAGCATTACCTAAATATATAACTTGAATTTTGAATTCTCCAACTATACTAAACGTCTTAATCTCCCCTAACATATTCTATAAT